TTTGACTTATTTGATAAAATAGTTCAACTTAAATTCAAACTTTTGAATTATTTATAAAACATTTCTTCATTCATAAACTCAAATTAATTGGTTTTTGTAAAAGATTCGTCTTTCATACAATAAAATATATAATTTAACAAATGAATATCAGTAATAAAAATAATACGAAAATAAACTGTTTTTATAAACAAATAAAATTGTTAACAAAATCGATTAAAGAATACTATCAGATATTCAAGTTTTTCGAAAACATAATAAAAAACACTTAAAAAGTGTGCAAGATTGTAGGTTTGATATAACCAATAAGATTGGTTCAAACCAAAATAAAATAAGAACATAACAAAAATATTGTTGTCGAAATAAAAAATGGATTTCACTCAAACTAAAAATACTTAGAGAACCAAATAACATCAAAATATTACTATAAAAACCCACTGCTTACTATTAATTTTGTTCGTTATTCATCTAACACAACAATAACATTAAATTAATTATCTTATATGGTAAAACAACGCTATAAAACATCAATTTAAGTCGAGAAAAATAGCAGTTTTGGATACATTATACAATGCTTGACAAAAGAATAATTAATTGTATAGTAATTTTAATTATAAATAAACTAAAAAAACAACCTTTGGATAATATAACTGATAGTAAATTATTAATTATTTTATAATTGATTATAACAATAATTATTAAAACTAAACCAAATGAACACCAATACAAATATAATTAAATTGAGTCAAGCATAAACAGCCTTCTCATGCTTAATCCTTGTTCATCTGCGAGCGCCTCCATTTTAAGTCTGTCATTAATGCCTGAGTACATAGATGTTCCGCTTGAAAAGACGATGTTTTCATACAATTCCTTTCTGATATCAACATCGCACTTCATGATTGAGTTGTGAGTAGTATCGTGGATACCTGATGCTTCCATAACAAGTAATGGTATGGAAGAGTGCTTCTGGCATCTGAATCTCTCAATGTTAGTGATGATGACTTGACTATTTGAAGGTTTGTTTGATTTTTCAAGTTTTGATGATGAAGCATATTTTTGCATTTTTTCGTCAAATCAAATGCAATGCAACAAAGTTATTTATAATAATAAGCAACTATTTATTTTTTGAATTTTTATTTAAATAAAACAAGAAATTTGTGTGTTATTTCACACAATTATTTAATGTTGATTTACGATATTTATTCGAATTTTAAATGTTTTTTCTGGATATAAGGATTAAAAATGATAATGTTTGATTATAAATTGGGTTGCACATTTTCGGTTTTAAAATAGTGCAATTTTAAACTATAAATTTATTTTATACAAATCTTTGAATAACCCACTCCATTTATCGTGTAATTCAAATTTATATCGGGTATTTTTCTTTGTTTTATCACAAACTTTTATGTTTTGTAGCA